AAATAAGAATATTCATAAAATAACGTGTTAAAAAATAAAATATAATGCATCAAATAACTAGGAAATTGTCAAAAGCAAAAAGTTTTCTGCCAAGTGAAAATAAATATAACCATATTTTTTAAATTCACTTCAGTTTTTTTAATTGTTTGTTTTTAATGAACGTGTCTTAAAACATGTGAGGAGTTTATTGTGACTGTTACATCATCAACACATACAGGCTTTTAAATCAAAGCTTCTGTTCATGGAATACATGATGTCTATATATTGTATCATTTAATAGATGAGTGGAATTGTGCAGAGTGAGTCAAAAGTCACAGGACAGCCTTTTATTTCACAAATACAGAGAAAATGTCACATCTGAATGAATGATGGGGGCTATTTTTGGAAAAACTTGCCCTTAATTCAAGATGGCGGCCATGTTCTGAACATAGCCTAAATGATAGACCTCCCTCAACCATTACTTGCTGGGGTATTCAGATATTTAATTTTCCTGTATGTGTCTGAAATAAAAGGGTGTCCTGAGACTTTTGACTCAAATGACTTCTCATCTTATCTTTTATATAAAGAACTTTTCTGTACAATTTATAGGAACTCTTGCCTCTGAATAAGTGCATGCAGCAACACTTTCCCCTCGCTGATGATCCTTGTAAATAAAGTTACATCATGTTTATCAATAAATAAACCCACTAAATATTATCAAATAAATGCTGAAATCAGAACAGCTGTATTTGGAGCATCAAACTATTGATTGTATTATTATTTTTTTGTTTTATGATTATTTTTTTCACTTTTTGACTACCTCATGTGTTTCTATGATTGTGTAGTTTGTATGTATTTGTATTTGTGTGTATGTATTTATACCATCAGTTAGCAGCTTTGATTTAAGAGCCTGGCACTGTTTTAACACAGTTCATTTTAGAGTTAAAGCAAACAACGACGCCACGTTTGTTTTCTTTCTTTCTTTTTCTTTTTTTTGTTTGAATGTGTCTTATTGAAGTCAGCTTGTGTTGTTTATAAAACTTTTTCTACGCTGTAAATTTGCATGAAATTTGTATGCTCATTATTATGACCAATAAAATCTTTTCTGTATAATTCTAAAGTCTGGGAGTTTTGAGCGGCGTGTAAAAACCCTCCTGCTGTGTGTGGATGCAGTTTGGACCGATGAGCCACGATGATGAAGTGTTAGGTTTGGTTTGGAGGCGATGAGGTCATGACTCGTCTCTGGTGAGCTCATAACATGATACAGACCATGTGGAGTGGGGGGGTTGTGATGCAGGCATCTTTGCTTTTAATTTGAGCTCCTTAGAGACGACAGTAAGAGGCCCTGGACAAATGTTGAAAAGCCTTTCTGATACCACATATAGCCCACCACACACACACACACACACACACGGAGCATTTCCAACTTATGACTAATATC